CGTGTCATCTGAATCCTGCATCACCAAGCTACTCCTCTCCCTCTGCCCCAGGCTTCTTTTTGAACACATTTGCAAGGCTTAAGGTTTGAATACCTCAATTATGATGTCCTTTTTTTTGGGGGGGTGGGCAGTACTGGGGTTTGAACTCAGGGATTCACACTTACTAGGCAGGTGCTCTACCACTGTTTCTCCGTAGTCAGAAACAGTTGGAATTGCATGCTAATACATGGAATTCATGCAAATGCTAGAGAATGTGTGAACCCTGGGTTCCATCCCCACACCCCCAGCATCTTTCTCTCTCTCTCACACACACACCCTCAGTTGTTATTAGTTACAGCAAAATGATAAAGCTTGGTTGAAATTCTCCACCACTGCAGTCTTGGCACATAGCCAGGCTGGCCTACGATCCCCAACCCTCCAGCCTCAGTCTCCGAAGCTGCGATCACTGTGCGTGAGCCGTGCCCTGCACGCTAAGCCTCAAGGGAGTGAAAAGCAGAATCGCCAACACAAACTTTTCTTTTAAGCCCATTAAGGTGATGATAGCTCTGAAAGCCTAGCCATTTTCTTCCCTTTAATAAAAATTGCCATTCCTCCTTGTATGGACCTAATGGTTTTGTTTGGATACGGAAACAGACTGGGGGTATGCATGGGACCTTCACATGAATGGTGCCAGTGGAGAAGAAAGCAAAGTTGTTGAATTGGTGCCCTTGTGTCTTGATGCACAGTGGATACCCAACCCAGCACTACCCCAGCACCTTCAACCACCTTGTGACTCCAAAGCATTCACATCTGACATCTTAATGCTTTAGAGTAAAAGTACATGCACATCAGTGAATCATAGTCCGGTGCTGGTGGCTAATGCCTGTAATCCTAGCTACTCAGGAGGCAGACATCAGGAGGATCACCATTTGAAGCCAGCCCAGGCAAATAGTTCAGGAGCCCCTATTTCAAAAAAAAAAAAATCACAAAAAGGGCTGGTGGTGAGGCTGAAGCAGGTAAGAGCACCTGCCTAGGTAGTATGAGACCCCAAGTTCAAACCCATGTACCACCAAAAGAGGAAAAAAAAAAAAGAAATGAATGAACCATGTAGGCCCAGCTGAGACACTCTGGCTTATTTTAATACCCATGGAAGGCCCATCTCAAAGCCTGTTTTTTCTTCTGCACTATTTGTAAAGCAAACCACCCGAGATGGTGAAATGTGCCTTTGCATATGTGCCCTGCTTTACGAGCTGCGAAAGTTCTCATCACCTTGGAGGTAGAGGCTGCCTTCTGACCCACGGACCTCCCCCATTAATCTCCCAGAGGAATCCATTGGATCCAGAGTTGGGACAAATTATAAGTAGTTTAGCTTTTTGAGTCCAAAAAAAAAAGAAACCCAGGCATGGCCACAGATTGAATGCTTTGTTCCTGATTAAGTATTTTCACACTCCCATCTAATCAAATCCCACCCAGTGTGCAGATAAAGTGAGAAACTGATTCAACAAGGTGAGCCTTTATACCCTGGAGCAGCCAGCAGTGTTGAGCTGAGATTCTTCTGCATCTTTTATCATCTAACCCCTCATTTTGTTTCTGGATTTATAGAGGCTGACGTGTGACATTTCCTGTTTGGCTCAGAGGACCTGCTGAGTTATACACAGCAGATGATGTAGCTGGGTAAATTGCCTTTGACGCTCTAATGAAGAGCTTCCTGTGGCCCTGCTGGCCGTCAACACCTTTGCTGATGCTGTGGTTTATCTCAACTCACCTGGCTCAACCTGGCATGGGTCAGATGGAAGCCACCATCTTCTACACACTCCATCCTAGTCTCCTCATGCACGGCAGGCTCTGGAGTTCCCAATTTAATGCAGAGAGTAAAAGTGGAAGAGTTTATTCCATTTTCTCACTTAAGTAAAATAATCTTCGTACATTTGTTGAATCAGTTTTGGGTTTTTTTGGCAGCACTGGGGTTTGTTTGAACTTGGGGCCTCCCGTTTGCTAGGCAGGTGCTCTTACAGCTTGCACCACTCTGCCAGCACTACCCTCAAACATTTAATTAAAAGACATAAAACATAACTGCAGCTTATTATCAAATAAGAGAAAGGATAAAAATGATAGCTACTTGGACCAGGGCCTATTAGTTTAAACTAGAATATCCATTTCAATCATCTCAAGAACTGGGTTAATTTTACTCTCAGACTTTATATGGTGGCTGCTTCACCTTGAGACCAATTGAGATGGGCGTCCATCTACCTGCAAAAGAAGCTGACTGATGTGGAAGAGCTGACAGGTCACCCATAACAACGTAACTCACAAAAACAACAATGTAACTCACAGCCCTTTCCTGGGGCCTGATGCTAAGTTCTCAGCAGGGAGTTTGGTAGGACATAGCCAAATGTAAGCTATGGTTCCTTTACAGTAAGACATGAACACAATCATACCACTGTATCTCTGCCTTACCATGAGCATGCGTTCCTCTTAGCATGTTAATTGAACAAAGAGTTTCATTATGACACTTCCATACATACATACAATGTACTTTGATCTACTTACTCCCTCGCTAATCTCTACCTACTCAGAAGGCAGAGGATCACGGCTCAAACCTAGCCCAGGCAAATAGTTCGCAAAACTATCTCAGGGGCAGGGAATGGGACCATCACAAAAAAATGGGCTGGTGGAATGGCTCAAGGTTTGGGCCCTGAGTTCAAATCCATTATTTTTTGGTGGTGGGTGCTGGGTCTTGACTCATGGCCTCATGTTTGCTAGGCAGGTGCTCTACCTGACACATTCTGCCAGCCCAAACTTTCTTATCCCTCTCCCCTTTTGCAACCTCATCAGCACTTTTTCCTACCACTAAGAGTCTTCCCTTGGCACTAGGTGTCCCCTCCTTCAGGACTCAAGCCTATTCCCTTTCAATAAGGTGTTCTCATGGTAAAAACACTTACCATAAGACATATCCTCTTCATAAATTTTTTAGTGCGTAAGTGCAAATGTCACATAGCAGACCTCTAGGGCACGCTCACCTTATAGCTCCCCAGCTCAGCACACTCCCTTGGGAGCACCCGGAGATGGCAGGATATAAACACTGCCCTCTACCCAGGGACGCATACCAGGTTATGACAGGTTGAGATACGGGCTAATCTAAGGGGTGATAAGCCTTCTATCATCACCAGAAAGTGCTCGACAATGAAATTACTGAGAAAGATTTCTGCCTTAAAAATGTCAGAGGATGCTAAACAGCAGGTAGAGCCAGTGTGTGCTTGAAAAGCACATCTGGGATGGACAGAACCAGATGTGCACTTTTTTTTGGCAGTACTGAGGTTAAGTACAGGCCTTGAGCCTACTAGCCAGGTGCTCTACCACTTGAGCCAGACCCCCAGCTCTGGATGTGTAGTTTTGACTCTAGGAACCAGAGGGTCAAGATATAAGTAGAATATACCAAAAACACAAACAACAAAAACAAAAAACTTACATACATGTTTGGTAGTGGGGGGGACATTCAAAATTTATTTTCCAATAGACAGACAGCATCAGCAGGTACAACTACAGGGTTTCCTCCATAGGTCACACATTCACAAGGCCTGATTAGCCAAACAGGGAGAAAGCCACAGACTGGTGTGTTCTCTTGTCACAATACCTACTTCACAGTGTAAACAGGTGAACACTATACACTTAGAATTCCAGAAGGAAAGGCACGACTTGGCAAAAAAAAAAAAAAAAAAAATTTTTTTTTCTTTTTTTGGATCCTAAAGTCAGGTGCAATAACTAAGAAGGCTTTGGGTGACAGGCTTCATGCTCATTTCAGCAGGACCCTTCGACATGGTGAAGAATTCTCTGTCCACAAGTTGGGTCCTTCTTCCTCATTAAACCATTCAATGTCTGTTCAATGTTACTACATGTACAAAAGTGAGTTAACAACAAAAGGAATCAAAGAACATCCAGCTGTTCCCACGAATATGTCACATACGTCAACTCTTAGGTTTTTAAGACAAGGCCTGGGAATACTTCAGCGGTCATAAAATAGGAAAATAGAGATTATGGCTACAAAAAAAAAAATAGATGAGGTAGATAAATTAAAGCTTTCACACTCAGGACTTGCCTGTTCCAACTTTGCAGCCTTCATGTAATACACAGGGTTGGGGTGGAGGGGGAGAATCTTCATTATTACCTGGCCCAAGTGGCACCAAGGGTATTACAAAAAAAATCAGCATGTGAACCTGTGACAGGAAGCACACCCTTCTCATTCTCTTCTCAAGAACAAGAATCCATCCTTCCACAGCGCAGGCACTGTGGAACCACAGCAGGTCCCCTCAGAATCCCCGCTCGGGTGCCCACCTCGCCTGGTGTCTGGAAAGACAAAGCCATGGAAGGTGTGGGGAGCACTTGGCACTCTGGGGGCCCCACATGGACTGGATATTTAAATAAGCAGCAATACACACGTTGGCTCCCTAAGGACTAGAAGTCCGTTCCAGGGCACCTACTTTAAGGTTCTAAGGTTGAAGAGTCTGTCTACAACCTTAGTTTTCTGGGCTTTTGCTTTTTCTTTTTTTTTTTCTTTTTTTTTTTTTCCATTTTTAAAGTACATTCAAAAAAAAAAACAAAAGAGTGTTGGGTGAGGCCATACAAAAAAGTCCCCAAATAGATGACAGAATGTCCAGATTACCTGCATACCTTTGTTACCATCAAAGTGTGCAGCACCTTCCCCTCAGCCAGGCCAAGCAGTGGTCTTCCACTGTGGTTCAGTAAGCTCCATCAACGCTTCACCTTCAAAGAAGTGATAGTCTTTGGAACAGTTGCTCTTGGTTGTACAAAGCTTCTAGGTATACAGTTTGTCGCAAGTAACACAAGCTACTTTGCAAGACCCGCTTCCTTCCAAAATTAAAAAAAAAAAAAAAAAAAATCTAGTCTGTGTTTTGGCATTTTTTTTTGTTGTTGTTTCTAATTTTTAAATTTTTTTGTTCTGTTTTCATGTTTTGCAAAGCAGCATTAACAACAAATGTGATTGTAAGACTGCCCAAGGCTGCAGTGACAACCGTAAACATCATTTGCATATCGTAAGAAAGTAAACGGGAGGAGGTGGACTTGAGGAAAATCTTAAAAAGCAGAGACTAGATTCCTCCGCTGCTCCTCCTTCCTCCCTCACTTGAGCCTAGCTGACTGCGATCTTGTTTTCTTCCTGGAAGTGAGGGAACTGGGGTTTGGCCACACTATCGGTGACACCTGACTTCTCCCCCTCAGCGCTGCCACCTGACTGGGAGCCATCCATCTTGGACACAGTGGCGTTGTTCACAGAGCTGGTCCCCAGGGAGACCGGGAGTGGGGGGAGGCCGCCACTCTGGATGACCGAGATCTCATTGGTCTTCATGGCCAGGCCGCCGTTGAGCACGCTGGCATACTGGTTCCACACAACAGGGTCCACGATTTCCTTGGAAAACATGTCTGACACCCTCTTTCCATCGGTGCTCAGCAATGCCATCGTGTTCTCTATGGCTAGCTTCCTCCCCCGGCGAGCAGAGTTATTGTTTGCCCCGTGTGTCATGTAATGGACCTGAGGGAACAGGACAGAAGTCGTCATGAAGTTGAGACTCAGCTGTCTGTTGGCAAGCCCCAATCAGTCCGCACGGAGTATGGCTCCCCGCCAAACAGGATCTTAACCTACTGCCAAGATTTCACTGTGTGAAAAATTCAGACTCGTGCTAGAGCAGTCAAAGTGGGCCTATCCTCCCCAGCTGTCTCTGCCTCACTGTGCAACGTGTGTGCTCACGTGATACCCACTACCTGCCAGCCGTCGCTCCCAAAGTGAAGGTTAGTATCTGTCAGTACACAAACCTACACACACCCGAGGACAAGAAAAACAGGAAAATAACTTTTTTGTAGAAAACAAGCCAACCTCCCTGACAGAGCTGGCACTATAAATCTCCAACAAAACAAACTTTGCTAGGACAGCCACAGAAGGCCATGGAGGGAGGTGGAGACTACTGAATCTGGATGTTTAATGTCTTCTGAAGAAGAGACTGTTACTGATCCTGCTTCAATCTGCCTGGCTTTCAACTTTTCAAATTTTTTTTTTTTTTTGCAGTAATGGGTCTTGAACTCAGGGCTACACCTTGAGCCACTCCACCAGCCCTTTTTTGCAAAAGGTTTTTTGAGATAGAGTCTCAAAGAACTATTTGCCCAGGCTGGCTTCAAACTTCAATCCTCCTGATCTCTGCCTCCTCAGTTGCTAGGATTATAGGCGTGAGCCACTGGTAGACTTTTAAACACTCCTTTTCTTAGACACTCTCATTTATCTTTACCGGTATCAGTTGTCACCACCTGGGCTGAACAGAAGTGACTTGCAATGCCTCATTATAGGCAGCTGTTGGTAACTAATGAGAAAGGGAAGGCCACACTGCAGGAGCATGCAGGTGTCTCCACAATCTGAAACACTTTATGACTTCACCTCCAGGACAACCTGAAGCCAGTCACTGCCACTGCCATTGCTGTCATTACCCCAATTCAGTAGGAGATCAAAGCCAAGTCACCTGCCTTGCTTCCAGTAAAAGCAGCAGTGGACATCCAGCCAGGCCTGTGCTCCAACTAAACCTTGTCCAGTTCTGCAGGTCTAGAAGTTGGTCCTGGAGACTAAGTCACTGCATGTTCTTTGTCAATTTGATTTTAATTAAAACATACACAGCTTTTGGCTGAAGGTGTGGCTCAAGTGGTAGAGCACTTGCCTGCCAAGGGCAAGGCCGAGTTCAAACCCTAAGACCAGCAAAAACATACATAGCTTTTGTTATCCATACTTCTAATTTCCAAATGACATGCAGTGTCCTGGATAACTTTAATAGGAAGTCCATACTGGCACACTGGGGCTTGAACTCAGGGCCCACACCTTGAGCCACTCCGCCAGCCCATTTTTGTGATGGGGTTTTTCGAGATAACAGTAGCACAGAAGACCCTCAGCTTTTATTTGTTTTGGGTTCTGGTGGGGCTAAGGTTTGAACTTGGGGCTTGTCGCTTGCAAAGCAGGTGCTCTACCACTTGACCCACATCTCTAGCCAGTTTTATTTACTTATTTATTTTTTCCAGTGGTACTGGGGGATTTGAACTCAGGAGCTTTACCACTCAAACCCCTTGCTAGGTAGTTTCCAGTTAGGGCCTTGGGAACTATTTGCCCAGGGCTGTTTTTGAACTGCATTGCTCCTGATCTCTGCCTCTCTGAACAGCTAGGATTATAGATGTGAATCACGGAGCCTGGCCTGCCACCCCATTTGGTGTTAATGGAAGAATTCATCATAGACTGTACTGATACACAGATGCCACTCTTATCACCCAGTCCCCAGCCCTCCCGGAAGCCCAGAGAAACCCACCTTCAGGTTGCCTTTGGTGGTGAAAGCTCGCCCGCATACGTTGCACACAAAAGGCTTCTCTCCGGTGTGCGTCCGCTCATGGATCTGCAGGGCACTGGCGGACGAGAAGTTCTTCCCACAGCGTGTACAGCCGTGTTGCTTGGCCTGTCGTCGTGGCTGAGATGATAACAAAGGCGTCATGCCTGGGGACATGGTAGAGGGTCCCACAAATGTGCCAGGAACTTCAACTTTGACACAGGTGGGCTGTGTTCGGATAAACGTTGATGGGAGACTGGTCCGACCTGGTGTGTGAAGGGGAAAAAATCCAAATCTTTATCATCCACACCCATTCATTCTCTGAAGCAAAAGAAGCCTTTGTAAACAAGTTGGGCAGGAAATTTACACCTCCAAAGCAGCTTGCCTTTAATTGTTCATCTGCACAAGGAATGAAGATTCAAATACTTGGGAAACTATACTTTTTTTTTTTTTGGTATAAAGATATGGGCATCAGAATATCACATGTAACTGAAGTTCTAATTTCTGCCTAAGAAGTTACTTTCAGTGGTGGCTCAAGCCTATCATCTTAGGTACTCTGGAGGCCAGTCTCCGAGAGATCTGGAGGACCTTGGTTCAAGGCCAGCCCAGGCAAAAATTTCTCAGGATCCCATCTCAACCAGTTAACTGGGCATGGCAGTATAAACAGAAAATCAAGGTCCAGGCCAATCCTGGCATAAAGTGAGATCCTCTCTTAAAAAGAACCAAAAGCAAAACAGACTGGAGGCGAGGCTCAAGTGGTAGAGCGCTGAGTTCGACTCCCAGTACAATCCCCCAAAATAAGTTATCTTGAGCAGCTATTACTCTATTGTACTACTAACAACATCAATGAGCCCCACAATTGGTATCTGCATTTTAAAAAGGATTAACCTTTTCCCCTTCCCCAGTGACTAAAAGAAACATTCCACTTTTGAGTTCAACCCCAGAATCAAAGGACTAACGCTTATTTCAGTGGCCAAAAAAATAAGTGCCTCGTTCCTAAAACATACATCTACCTGGATGTACTTAAGGTTACCCGTGGGGTCAAGGACAAAAGCCAACAAATATTATGCTATGATTAGCCATCACAAAAACGTAAGTATGCCCAGTGCTAGGATAGAGGTCACTGCTACGTCCCTCTACCCAGAAAGACAGAACAGCTAAATGCCCTACAGAAGAGCTGCTTCAGAACACATTCCATGTGAACAGTTCAACCCAGGCTCCATTTTGATGACCTTGAGCCCGACATGGACATAAGTTAAATCCAAAGGCTATCACCTTCCATCTCACTGCGGGTGCTCTCGGAGCTCTCAGCCTTGCCCCCGTCGGGGGACCTGGACTTGATGCTTTCTGCTTGGCTATTGGCGGGGGACACTGCCTGGAAGGACATTGCTTCCATGTTGTCTGGGCTTCGGCTCTGATACTCCTGGTCCCCCAGGAGTGAGGATGAGTCGTTGGTCAGGCCGTCGCTCTCCACAGAGCCGTTTTCCCGGCTGCTCTGGCGCTGCAGACCCAAAGGGACAGGACCTGCTTTTCCCGGGACATCTAGAGAGGCCATCATGGCAAACCCCAGAGTGGGTGATGCCAGGTGGCTGCTGGGAAGAGGTGCGGTGACCTTCGAGGAGCCACCGAGGGCATCCTGGGAGCTCACTTCATCGACATCGATGCTTTCAGCAACATCCCCGTGGCAGGACACAACTGCATTGCCGTTCTCACTGATCACCATGGGCTCGGGACCTGCGAAGTCACAGGGACTCTCCGGCAGAGGCGTGTTGGGAATCTGGCCACCCATGTGCATCCGGATGTGTTGCTGCAACATGACGGCATTGGTAAACTTCTTCTGGCAGATGGGGCACGAATGCTGCGTCTTTACAGACGTGTTGGTTCGGTGGACCCCAAGGTGCGTCTTCAAGTTGCCTTTGGTAGAGAAAGCTCGGCCACAGACCTTGCACTGGAATGGCCTCTCACCAGTGTGAGTACGGTAATGCATCTTGAGGGAACTCTGGCAGCTCAGAACTCGGTGGCATATGACACACTCATTGGGATCAGTGGGGGTCTTGTCAATGTTTTCCACCAACTGCTGCAATTTCAGGGTCTCAGACCCAGGCTCGGGGGTCCCACTTCCCTGGAAGCCACCAACCCTCGGGGAATTGTGGTTGGGCCCCACCCCAAGTACTGTGACTCCACCCGCACTTTCTGGAGAAGGCCCGGGCTGCAGGTCATTGGGCAGGGAGCCCCCTGTGAGGTCCTTGGGGTTAGTTCCTGAAGAAAGACTTTGAGGTAGCCCTATGGAAGGGGTCCCTGTTACAAGGACAGGTTTGCTGTCTAAAGAGAGGCTTGGTTCATCTACAGGGACAGGGACAGAGAGTGCATAGGGGACTCCAGTGCCTGCCGCCACTTTGTCCTGGAATTCGGCAAACAGCTGGGGGTTTGCCTTCACCTGGGGGTGCCGGTGAAAGTGCACCTTCAGATTGCCCTTGGTGGTGAAGCGGTGACCACAGACTGAACACACGAAGGGTCTCTCTCCAGTATGGGAGCGGAGATGAATCTGCAAGGAGCTATCAGTCCCAAAAACCTTGCTACAGTACTTACACTTGTGCTTGTAGAGAGCCGCCTCATCTTTGGGTTTGCCATCCACCGCGGAGATGCTCGATGGCTTTCCTTTCCCCTTCTTGGATGGGTCTAGCGCCACAGTGGAGAAAGGACTCTGGAAGAGCACAGAGCTGGGGGTCTGAGGTAGCAAAGCACTCGGGAGGCGAGACATGACATTGGGGAGCACCCGTGTCCCGTCTGGCTTCAGGGCAAAAGGTGTCAGGCCCGGGGACAGGGAGCCAGCCGTGGAAGGGATGTTGGTGTGAGGTAGCTTGGCTTGCTTCAAGGCATCCAGAGACAGACCTTGGCTTCCGGCCTTCTGGCTGAGCAAGGCCACTGCTGCGGACACCTGCTGGGACACGTGGCTGCCCAAGTTCTTCAGGGCATCGGCCCCCGCCACGCCCGAGTGCAGGGCGTGCGCTGCCCACATGTTCACCTGGACTCGGATCTGCTCGGTGAGCTGGATCTGCTGCAGCTGCTGCTGCTGCAGGCACAGGATCTGCTCCAGCACCCAAGGGATGCTGTTGGCACCCGGCACTGGTGTGGGTGGCGCATCCACACTCCGCTGGTTCACCGCCACCTTGGTGCCCCGCAGCGCCTGCAGGGTCACGTTAGTGTTGGCCACTTTTCCTTTGTGTAAATAGCTTATGTCCTGGGGTGTAGGGGGCAGGGCAGGCTCTGTCTTCAAGTACACAACTGACTCTGTACCCGGCTTCTCCTTCGTGTCCCCTGAGCTGCCACAACTCTCCCTGTGACTGTCCTTCCTGCTTGGACTGGATGGCTGGTGGCTCAGTACAGCTCTGGAGAAGTCTTCTGAAGGCACTGGCCCCTCGCTGTCATTCATGATGAGAACAGGTGGAGTTTTAGTGCAATTTTTCTTATGTTCCAAGAATTCAGAGAGGCTGAAGAGCTCAGCACAGCATTTCTCACAGACGTGAGTCTCCTCCCGACGAAGACGCTTTACTGTCGCTTCATCGATCCCTGGGTTCACTGGAGCACCTGTGATAGGAGACAAAAGGCTAAGAAGTCTGCCCCAAAAAGGCTGTGGGGTGATCCCTTGAGAAGAACTCCAATTCACAACAGAACACACCGGTCTTCATTGACTGTGTTCCTCCAGGCCTAGATGGTGTAAGTCACCCAAAAAGTCTGTGAGAGCCAACCACTATGTGATGGGTTAACTATATAGTCTCCAAGAGGTAAGGCAAGGTTGTAACTGCCCCACACACACGTTCATGTGACCTCACATGGGATGGGGCTTGTCAAATGTAATCAGGTTGGGCCCTGGACCTAATGTGCACGATGTGTAGTTCCAAGAGAAAGAAAAGGACAGAGACAGAGAATTCCACCCTGTAAAGACAAAGGCAGACAGAGATATGCCAGGTACCAGATCTGCCTTGTGCAGAGCCTCTAGAAGGAACTGAGCCTGTTGTCACCTAAATACAGACACCTGGCCCCCCACACCTGTGAGGAATACACTTCTGCTTTTTTGTTGTTTTGGCGTGTGTATGGGGGTGGGGGTGGGGGGACAGTGAGGTTTGAACTCAGAGCATCACGCTTACAAAGCGGGTACTCTACCACTTGAGCCACACCTCCAGCCTGTTTTGCTCTGGTTACTTTGGAGATGGGGTCTCTACTACTTGCTTGGGCTGGCCTTGAACTGCAATCCTGACTTCAACCTCTCGAACAGCTAGGATTACAGTCGTAAGCCACTGGTGCCCTCGAACTGCAATTCTCCTGCTTCTGCTTCCTAAGTGCTGGACTGCAAGCATGTGCCATCATGCCCAGCTTCACCTACTCTTTTCCAGCTTTTGATGAGACAAAAATAACACAAGTTTAGTAGAAATGGCATTTGGAATTTCTTTTTTCTTTATTTTGACAGCACTGGGGTTTGAACCCAGGGCCTTATGCTCCCTAGGCAGTGGCTCCATCACTTGGGCTACTCTACCAGTTTGGTATTTGCAATTTCCACATTTTGATCTTTGCCTAGGATCCTCTCTTGCAATGCGGGACAGCTGCAGCTCCATCAGCCACTGTCACAGGGGAAGCTATGGCTACTCCACAGCACTGGATGACTAAACTGGGAGGTTTGGTCACAATCTTCACCTGTCCACTTACAACATGCTCAACACATGACGGGTTGATGAGGACATAATCCCACTGTACAACTGGAGCACAAATACACAAATAAACAAAACAGTACTATTTTGAGCAGATTATAGTTTTTTTTGTGGTACTAGGGATTGAATTCAGGACCTAAACACTGAGTCATGCCTCCAGCCCTTTTGCTTTTGTTATTTTTCAGATCAGGTCTCATTTTTGCCCCATGGGCCTTAGACATCAATCCTCTCTCTACCTATGCCTCCCTTTGAGCTGATATTACAGGTATATACCATCATGCCCAACCTTGTGCACAGATTATTTATTTATGGCACCTCCTCAGTCCTCTGAGCAGTTACTATCTTTAAAATGATTGACTCAAGAATTTCTTTGGTAACTAGAGCATACCCAGTTGAGGGTTAGTGTTAGCCCTAACTTCCATTTTAGGACTGTGCTGTAGCCAGACGCCTGGGTCCTAGGGGTAAGTAGGCCTACTTCTAGGTTGTCACTGGAACTTGGGGATCTCAGACTCCACAACACTGAGCCTATGATTGTAAATCATATACACATTGGCACAAGCCCACAAAGACAGGTGCGGTGGCCTACATCTGTAATCCCAGCAGCTGGAAGGCTGAAACAGAAAGATGATGAGTTCAAGGCCAGAGAGAGACTATGTCCACCCCTCCCCCCAAAACAACAACAAAAAAACCAGCCAGGGGCTCACACCAGTAATTCTGTAATCCTAGCTACTTAGGAGGCAGAGATCAGAAGAACCACAATTCGAGAGATCCTATCTAGAAAAAGCCCATCACAAAAAAAAGGGCTGGTGGAATGGCTCAAGGTGAAGGCCCTGAGTTCAAACCCCAGTACCACAAAAAAAAAAAAAAAAGACACAGGTGGTTCACACCTGCAATCCTAGCTACTTGAGAGGCTGTGATTGGGAGGATCGTTGCCACCTAGGCAGACAGTCTTCAAAAAAAAAAAAAATCCTCAAAATAACCAGAGCAGGGGAACCCTCCTCCAACTCTGGGGACTCCATTTTTCACTTCAAACTCTCCGTTTTAATTAATACTTTAAAAAATAAAAAAATAACCGGAGAAAAATGGACTGGAGGTATGGCTTAAGTGCCTTCTTTTCAAGTGTAAAGCTTGTAAGTTCAAACCTCAGTCCCAGTCAAAAAAGCAAAACAAACAAACAAACAAACAAAAAACCCCCACACATGTAATATAAAAAACCTGGGGCTGCCAGTAAGGTATATAGGTCAGTAGTAGAGTGCTTGCCTAGCATGAGTAAGGCCAGGGTTTCAATCCCCAGCACCAATGAAAAACCCTCTCCCACAGTTACATCAGCAAAAAAAGCCAAGTTTTGGTCTAGCCACTGTACAAAAACAAGGCCTAAATTGTGTACAAATGTTAGGTGAAATGGGATGCAGCACAGTATGTAAAACGTTAAGTCTTTTTGTCTAAAATGAAGCCTGGGTAGGGAATGTAGAAATGGGGGAGGGGAGTCCTCTGCATGGAAGAATTACACTTTGGATGTTCCGTAAACCAACACACTCACTCTCTCTCAGCTTCTAGGATGTCTCCACTCTGGAAAACCATGGTCACCAATAGTTTGTGGAAGAGGGTTCAATCATGAAAGCACACGGCCTTAAACCCTCTTACTCTGCAGTATTTCAGATGGAAGTTTGAGTGGGGGATGGGGGTGGGCAGGGGAAGAGCCAATCACCCTGAGTAGGTCCTGCCTGCCAATAGCAGTGACCTAGAAACAAGCCATGGCCACACAGCCCACCCAACACTTCCTAAGGTGAACAGCTCCTATCCTAAGACTGCCACTCTTTCTCCCAGAAACCCTGGGCAGTATGGGACAAGTGTGGGGGATGGGGCTGGATAAAAGAAAGGGGTGGAACAAGGAAGGACACTTGTTACCAGCCTGCTTCTGAGACTTTCAGAAGTTGGTTTAGGGGCTGGCAGAATGGCTGGCTCAAGTGGAAGAACGCCTGCCTAGCAAGCAAAGGCCATGAGTTCAAACCCCAGTCCCGGCAAAAAAAAAAAAAGTGTTTGGATGTAACCAGCATTGGTATTTCCAGACAGTCCCAGTAGGTAGGCACAGCCCAAAACCTATTTTTCTTTTCTTGCTTTTTTGGAGATGGGGAACCCACTATATACTCCAGGTTGCCCTTGAACTCTCAAAGTTCACGACTCAAGTCTGCTGAGTGCCGGGATTACAAATATGCACCACCACACCTGGTAAAGCCTGTCTTGAGGCCCCATGGTTATATGATTCAGTCCTATTTCAAGACTCAATTTAAGAACTGGGGGCGTGGCTAAAGTGGTAGAGTGCCTGCCTAGCAAGCATAAGGCTCTGAGCTCAAACACCAATACTGAGAGAAAAAACAGACACCAATGTTGAGAGACTCAGGTTTAGACAGACAGTATTTATACCCACAATTTTCTGGGAGCTCAACAAATACAGTGCTTGTGGGGGTGTTCTTTCTGGAGAGACAATTTTAGCAATTGTGTCAAGAACCTTTTTTTGTGTGTGGTACTGTGGTTTGAACTCAGGGCCTACACCTTGAGCCACTCCACCAGCCCTTTTTTGTGATGGGTTTTTTTCGAGATAGGGTCTCATTTGCCAGGGCTGGCTTTGAACCTCAACCCTCCTGATCTTTGCCTCCTGAGTAGCTGGGATTACAGGCTGTTTTAACCTCAGCGCAATGCTTCACTTCTTAGCTAGGAATTTACACCCTGAGCTACAAGGCTTTTCTTGCAGCACGAATGCACTGTGCCAGTGAATTTCCGGTTAAATAAAAGAATGTACAGAAAAGATGAACACTTTGTAGCGTGCAGAAACAAAGTACACCTACATTGTAGGAGAGTAAAAAAAAGGCAGACAGGATGCACACATAATATGTTACCATTGGGTTTGCAGGTAAACACAGAAATGCCTAAGAGGAAAAGCTTAAATGGTAAGTGAAACTGTTGCTCATAGCTACCTCCTGGAGAGTGGATCTCGAAGCTTTTGGCAGAAAATTAAACTATAGTTTGTTTTTTTTTTTTGGCTGTACTGGGGTTTGAATTCAGGTCCTTGAGGTTGGTAGGCAGGCGCTCTACCACTTGAGCCCTCTGCCAGCCCAAAGGCTTAGTATCAAGCACCTCCAAGACACAGCCACTTCCGAAATCAAGCCAGGTTCTTCCCACTGGACCTTCTGTCTCAGCTACTCTACTTCTGAAAATCGATGATAAGGCTCACACAAAAATGGTGACCACTCCATTCTACTGTTTAAGGGTCAAATTAAACCACCCATACCAACCCCTCTCCACACAAGAACAAAACCATAACCATGCACTTTGGACTCTTTTGCAGAGGGGTTCTACCACTTGAGTCATGCCCCAGTCCTTATGTTGTTTTTCCAAACAGGACCTCTGTACTCTTTGATCTTCCTGCCTCTGCCTTCCCAAGTGGCTGGGATTACAGGTATGCACCACCATTATTTATCTTCATAGCCATGTAATCAAATGAATATCTTGTTCCCATTCTGCAGATGTGGAAACTGAAGCTTGGAAATATGAAGAGACTCAACTGGGTGCTGGTGGCTCAAGCCTGTAATCCTGTCTACCTGGGAAGCCGGGATTGGGAGGATCCAGGTTTAAGGCCAGCCAAATTCCATCTGGGTTGGAGGCATGGCTCAAGTGGTAGACTACCTGCTTTGAAAGTGAGAAGTCCTGAATTAAAGACTCAAGGTGACACAAAGCTAACTAGATCATAGAAAATCAAGTACTGGATGGCTAACACTGAGGACAATAAAATGAGGGTTCAGTTTTAACTATTTCTTCCACAACAGTTTCTAAGCCCTGCCTTTACTGGGGAGTTTAGGAGGGACCCCACACACACTAGACAAG